TTTTTACTAATAAAAAAATACTGCATATATTCAGTGACCATTATCCATATCCATTCTTTAAAATTATATACACAGAACAGCCTTCAGAAATTGTCAACAAACTCCTGGAATCTTAAATATTATTGGCACAATCTGAATCATGAACCACTTAAAATTTGAACTATACAATGTCCTATTCACTTTGCTGTAATATCGAACAAGTCGCAAACACCTTCATTTTCGCTAAGATTAAAGTGATAATCTTTCTCATTTGGAGGTGGACTTAATCTTACTAATGGTCCATAAACTGAAAAGTTAATGAAATTATATGAATGTTTATTACTATTTATTATTCTTTAGTACTATTATAACTTTTTCACTTACTGTCGGAACACATTTCGTCAAGTAACTCTACATCTTTTTGATCAATATCTGAAATAATAATATGCAATTGAAAATCATATATCATATTTCAGATTATTTAATCTTAACTATAATTTTAGAAATTAATAACATTTACCTGATGTGCTAACATCTCGAAGTACTATTTTTGCTTCTATTAAATCTGCATCCTCTTCTTCATCTTCGTCTGATATAATACGCTCAGGCTTATTAGCTCCTTTTGGAGGTCTAAATATTAAAATTACGTTTCTACTTAAATAATAAATATAACGAAGTTTACTTTTTAGGGTATTACATACTCAAATTAATAAATTGATGTACTGTACAATCTACACCAATAGAATAGATTTTTCTCTTAATATCTATTCAACCCCAAGTAGATCATTTTAATATATGCTCTTTGCAGATTAAAAATATTGTCGTACTATTTTTAATGCGAATAGAGCAAACAGTTTCACGTTTACAAAATTATTTTCATTACCTTCCAACTCTCCTCTTTGGCTTGACATTAATTTCCTCTTTTTTCTCTTCTTCTTCTTTAACTCTCTTTATACCCTTTGCCTCTTCTTGTAATCTTAACTCTAATATTTTACTATCGTATGTTTTAGCTAGTTCTGGCTGAATCATGTATACTTTGATTTCTCCTGAACTACTTTTCAAAAACATTTCATAATTCATTTCCTTGACATCCTCCTCCGAATTCTATTGATAAAATCAAATGATAAAATGTTGAAGTTACACAAACGTATGGGTCTGAAAGAGAAATGAATAATACCGGTGTCACATTTGGTACGCTTAATTCTGTATCAGGAGGAGCTTGAATTCCTAATACAAATCCATCAGGAAAATTTTCTTTAACATCCTCATAAGTGATGTATGCATATTTTTTATTAATTAAATCATTTTGTATGTTCTTTATACTTTGTTTAATCCACTGGGTATGCATATCTAAAAGGTCTTCGTGGTCCTCTAATTGTCCTATTTCATCTTTCAAGTCAGTTAATTTTTCACCGACTTCTTGAGTGTTACAACCTGGCCCTGCTCCTCTGTTAATCGATGAATAATATTATATATTTCAGGAAAAGATATAAACAGTATAGAAGGTATTTTATAAAGGATAAACATAGAAATAACATACTTCCATTGGATACTATTTTTGCTTTTCTTTTCAATCAGTCCAATACCTTCAAGGACATTAGTTATATCATAAATTCGCCTTTTTTGTCGAACTTCTAAGATATCAGCTGCCTATAATATTAATTCATTATCGTACGTTATCAGACATACTGAAGAGTTATCGTTATACTTTTTTAGGTTATGTAGGATGACACGTTGAGACATGGAAACGTGAAGCATATTGGATCATGTAATATTGGACTAAAATATTTTCGAAACGGAACTAACATTTTTCTGTAAACGATAGTGAAAGAATTCGAAATATTGATATTAGCGAAACTTATTTCAAAATTCCCGCAAGCTGGTAATGGCGTGTACACCCGCGATAACTTAACCTAGCAAGCAGGTTAACTTTTTATATCCGAACATTTGTAAAAGGACTTACTACTTTTAAATCGAGAACGCCATCCTTCGCCTTTTGCAATAACGTAACAAACCGAGTTGTTAACAAACCAAGAGACTTTTCAAATCTACTTTGTTGATTATCTGCCATTCTCGAGGTCGTTGTCAAAATTTTCAAAACTCACTATTCCCTTCGAAATTGCCGCAACACCACAGACGCCATCCTAGTTAATGCGTAGGAAGTATTTAAATATGAGCGCGTCTCTAGTATCGGGTGAACGTTAAAAACTCATGATAATGAGTTTTTAACGCACTTATAAATGCAAGAGGTATTTTGTTACATTTTAATCTGTATAATAGAGACGTATAAAATGAGAGCAGTCTTGATTTTAATAACTTTATTTGTAACAAAATTAATGAAAATATGTGTTTTCTGTACTATGTTTAAAAATGTATATTTACAATAGACGATGAAAAACGTTTCACTTCGTGATACATCATGTGCCCTAAGATATATGAGAGATATAAATAAAACTGTGATCTCAGCAGTATATTACAAATGGTTTTATATTTTACTACGAGAAAATAAATTCATTAGTAACATCTGTCTCATTAGTCGCATCTGGACTGAGACTAGAACTTGCGGAGCTTAGAGTTTCTTCCTTGATCTTTAAATTTGAAGATTCTTTACTCTTGTCTTTCTCCTTATCCTTTTCTTTATCTTTGACTTTGTCTTTATCCTTCTTATCTTTATCCTTACCATGCTTATGATCATGTTTATGTTTGTGTTTGTGTTTATGCTTTTTCTTATCTTTCTTCTTCTTCTTATTCTGCAAAATAGAGTAATTTAATAAGCATACATATCTATGAAGTTGAATTAAATATCTAATATGCGTGATATACTTTATTAGCAGAATCGCTTTTCTGTTTGTGCTCCTCTCCTTCTTTTTTAAACATTCCTGGTTCAAAACCCACTGGGCCCGATGTTCCCATAATGCCAGGCAATGATGCAGAATTATCACTATAATATTCTGATTTTACTTTTCCATCTCCTGTTGCAACTGCTGTTCGATCATCCTTTTCAATGTAAATGACATAATGGTTACTATTTGATAATTGCAATTTTAAATGATAGATTAATTTTGTTTATCAATATGCATTAACTACCATTTTCTGTCGTTTCACTTCTGGACCATATTCAACTAAATTAGATGGACCTGGAGTATCCCTAAGAGGTGAACTTTTTCTTTTGACTACCCCATTTGTGTTTTCAATTTCCACAACAGACGGCTCATACTTTATATGCGACACATTTGGTTTCATCTAAAAGAAATACAGTTCATATTTCAACTGTTTCAAATGGAACAGTCTCGCTGTAACTCACATCTGGTTCTGGACTCGGTGGTCCTGCTTTTTTCGGCTTAGGAGCAATGACAGCAAGCTCAGGAATTGGAAGACAAACTGGTCGTTTTGAACCATACAGTGTGTAATATAAATCAACTAAATCACATCGGATTTTAGGATCGTGTGAGAGCATACCGCTGTGATAAGAGTTTGAGTAAGACATTTTTATAAAGAAAATAGAATGAAGTGATAATCATATTAAACGCACTTGATTGAATTCCATATACGATCGACAAGTTCGAGACGATCTAAACGATGTTTGTGCGCTCTTTCAAACGGTGGATTTTCAACCATCAATCTTACTAATCTATGTCGCACTCCCGGATGAGGATCCATTTCTATCATGTCTAACAAAAATTCTAAATCCTCCCATTTACCATCCACTCTTGTGAAATCCACTAACGCTTCCAGGGCTGCAATTCTAACATCTAAACAAAGCACAATTGACAACATGAATATCGATATTATTGATATACATGGTAGATAATGTATTAGATGTACACCTATAAATTGCCCGTATGCAGCATATGCTCTGAAAAGGTGAGGATTACTCGGAAGATGACCAAACTTTTGCAAAATTCGTATGACCTTAAGACAAGCTACACTAACTGTATACTTGTAACATGGTAACAGCTTTTCCAAGTTTAAATTCCTTGTGACTTCCTCTAATATAGCCTTAGTATCAACTGACAATGATTCAGCAGTAATAGCTGTCCTGGAAAACGATTTTAACGTATAAAAAAGTAAAAACACGCACATATATTTCTTATAATTATCCTATGTAACGTACCCTTGTTGTACACTAATTACAGGAGTGACAGTAGCACCGAGTGCTTCGATCAATGCTGCTCTGTAATAATTATCCGAATATCTGTTTTTACTATTGTCGTTATACTTAAACAAATCCATCAAGAAATTCAACACTTCTGGGGGACATATACCGTGAGCGTTGCGTAAACCTGCCATCGCTACGGGTATAGTCTAAAATTAGAAGAAAGTTATCTGTAAAAATGTGAGTGAAAATAAGCATTTGCTTATTTGAAGCAGAATTCCTGAAACCTTTTGTAGAAAATAGTGTTGGAAGTTGGAGAAATTATTCTGCTTAATTATGCGTCTACACGAAGCCGATCCAAATAATTTTCGAAATATGGCTAACATTGCTGGCGGACCTGCCCATGTCGCAACCATTGCATTAGCTACCTACATAATTATATAGATTTTAAATAGATCACATATACATACATAAATAAATAAGTAAAATTTATGTAACCTTGGTCAAACAATGCGCGGCTCGTAATCTGACTTTATAATAACAATGTTCATTTTCTATAGTATCAGTTAATGCTAATCGAGTAGCCGGAGTCGCATGATTCTGTAAAGCTTCGATAGCTTCCAATTGCGCGGTAACGTCTCTTTCGTGTCTTAACTGATATTGCCACTGATAATCCGGTTGATCAATTTGAACCGCACGCAGTAACGTCATTTCAGGATCTAATCTTATCCATAATACGGGAGAATCGCTACGTACGAAGAAAATAACTTTGATAATGTTATATGATAATTATATATACTATAATAGTACTTACTCCATAGCAGAAAGGTCCATATCTACTTCTTCCCCAGTGCATAACGGAATCTTTTTCTTTTTATTTCTCCGACTTTTACTGTGACAGGTAATGTCGGTTTTCGCCGAAGTACCTTCTATTTGTAACGTGTGCTTGAAGGTACCATCTAATTCTTGAATATTAACTAGTAGCGGACCAACATATTTCCTAATTCCTCTTTGATTAGTAGTATCTTGTCGAATTTCTAATTCTACAGTGTTCCTGTAGGATATATTTTCGATTTAAGGTATGATATAAAAAACTACTTTGAAAGTAACTACCTCTTTCTGTTAAATACAAAATGTAAGCTAAATTTTGCATGTCCACCAGTTCGAACCCATTGGTCTATAAACACTGCCATATCTTTACCAGTTACAGTGAAAATAGCTTTCGTAAACACATTTGTACTGATTAACATATGAGACCAAAGTCCAGACTCAACTTTTTGCTGTGCAGCATTAGCAGCAAGAGACAATTGTTTATTAAACACCTGAGGTAAAAAAACGACAATAAAAAACAATTATTCTAACATAAAAGGTATGCTTCAATGTGTACCTGCAGAAGTAATTCTTGTCCAATTCGATGTTCTAACATTCTAATAACTAAATGGGCCTTCTTCCGAAGTACTTCGATATATTTTGGTGACATCGTGTGTAAATTTCTTATTGGAAAGTAGAATCCGGGATCTGGAGCTCTAGGTGTAGGAGCTGGTGTGTTCGCCGCAATAGGTAACGGAGCTGGTGGTTGGGAAGGATCTAGTATTATCCCACCAAATTGTTCTTCATATTTTACAACTGCTTGCAATTCCTGAAAATATCGCTATTGTTAAATGTTTCACATATAACATGATTAACCGATAGAAGAGAATCATTAATCACCGACTGTATCCACTCTCTGTATTCATTATTTCCAAAACATTTCTTTGCATATAGTCCAGTTAGATATGTCGAAACACCTTTAGGTAACCAAGTATCGGACCAATTTTGCATCGATATAAAACAACCGAAAAATTGTTCTGCAACAGCTTGAGCCATAGCTTTTTTTGTAGTATAAACTTGATCAATGATCGCAGTTGAATGTAACAAGTTCGTACTACAAACGAATAATTTTTAGATGTACAAACATATTTAACATGAAGATTACAATATAATTTCATACTTTAAAATACTCATAGTTGCATAAGCATTTATGTCTTCGTCCAACTCGTCTACAAATACTTGCTTGTAACACGAGTACGGATATCTGTTTGACAATGTTTCCTCGTAGAATTCAAATGCTTCATGCATGTATTTAGCAGAAACTTTCAACGATGGTAACAACTGTGGCAAACAAAAGTGTGTTACCTCGTGCATGTACGGGTCGACAAATATTTCAAATGGTCTAAAAGAATGTAACAATCATTTTTATGCTGTTGACGAACACAAAGTTGATCTGTAAATGAATTTTAAATAATTTACCCTACTGCAAGTGCAATGTTCGGTGCACACGCCGGCGTGTTCAGAACATAATGAAAAGTTTTTCTACGCATATCCGGAGTATATACAACTTCTACAAGATCGCCGCAAGATATAGCTGTCATCGAATCGTCAACAGTAAATTCTAATTTCCAGGTGCATGGTTCCGCAAAACTATCTACACATGGGAACCATAATCTCGAAGAATTTTCATAACTATATGTATACATATGTGCACCTCTCTAAAAAGTATTGAAACAAAGGTAAAAGATTGTAATTAAAATTAATATTTGTCTTAAGTGACAAGTACACTGCACAATACCTCTGCTAACGTCCCTTCACAATTTGGTACAACGAAGTGTACTCCACCTTGAGGCTGTTCTAAAGAGAACTCAATGCTTATTCTTAAATTTCTTCCTTCGCCGACTAAATGTGCAGCATCTGGTGGTATTTGTACAACTAATTCTCCTGCATTATTGTCTGGGTCAACTCGCTGTGCAGCTGCCAAATGCATAGTTGAAAAGAATTCCAATGATCGCCTTGAAAAATGAATATATGCTTTAACATTGTAACATATGAATGCTCTCAATCATTTTTATGAACCATACAATGAAGATTTATTGATTTAAGAAAATTATGTATCATACACAGGATTTAAATACTCACTGTTTCCCATCACCTTGACAGATATCTAAAAAGGGATCGAAGTACTGAAATGGTGCTTCGTAAGTATCATTTAAACATATTCTATAAATCCTGCATTGTTTTGCGTTTAACTTCACACATCGTAACGTGTCCTTAAGTGGGACAATTGTCAATTCTACAAATCCCTGCAAAGAAAATAGATACTAACAAAATGTAAATCACTGTTAATAGCAATTACACTTACAATGATACTTTTACGTTGAAAGCTTATACCCGTGAGACTCAATATTTGATGTGCTGTATAATGAAAGGAAATACTCAGTTATCATTAATATAATCAATGAACAAAACAAAAGGAGTATAAAACCTTATTAATTAATACAAAAAAATTATGAATTATTTTCGTAAAATTATGAAAATTGTATA